TCAGGAAATCTCTACACTCCTTAATCACATTCATGCCAATTAGTCCTGGGTACAATGATCCATTTGAGTCTTTAACAATCAACACTCCCCTTTTTGGTATCACTTTCCCACATATATTCAAATCTACCTCAATATATCCAATGTACGGAATTGTTAACCCATTAGCAGCTACCAAATTGAACTTTTGAATTGGTGGATACATTGTTGGTCCTCTAGTCTCAAAATATTTTTTAAAATAACTTTCGGTCAATGTAGTCACTTGTGAACCCGTATCAATCAAGCAAGGCGTTTTAACCCCCTGTATCACCACTTCCACAGATGGACATTGTCCTATTAAATGATCTTTCTTTTCTGATTGGCCACTACCAAATGTACCCACTGATTGGGCCTGTACAGTGGGTTCTAAAAGTTTAAAGGCCCCTGTGCTCCCTCTACAACCCTACAACGTCTTTCGATATGCCCAACTTGTTTACAACGTCGGCAGATAGGTCTTCCCTGATGATCAAATTGATCTGAGCTTCTCCGACCCCTCCTTAACTCATACCTAGATCTTGCATCATCACTACTTGGCAATAAGTGCTGTACTCCTTCACGAACTTCCTTAATCATTCCAGCAACCATTTCCTTTATTTCTCCTTTTAACTGCAAAAAGACCTCCTGTTTAATCTCCTCCACCAATTTTGTTGTATCAGGGGCTGGTTTTAACTGCACTGTTGCAGCTACTGCTTGCCTTACCTCCCCAAATTCCTCTGCTCGCAGAATTGCTTCTTGTTTAACTTCTACAAAAGAACTATCAGGAGCTGCCCTGACCATACCCCGAAGTTCCCTACGCAATCCTGCATCACAGAGTCCCAAAATAAATTGGTCACGTAAAACATTACCCCTAATGGTGCCATCGCCCCTATTCTCCAACCGATTACTCAATTCTTGAAGGGCCAAGGCAAACTGCCTAACATTCTCATCTGTCCTCTGTTTACGAGTAAAAAATTGGGCACGAAGGGTTGCAAGGGGGACAATATCTCCATAAATGCTTTTCAAAAATGACAATATCTGATCACCTGTCGTACGCTGTGCTATTGGCAAGGCTAACACTTCCCTCTTTGCTTCCCCATCAAGATTACTTATTACAGCAGAGACCTTTTGCACCTCAGAAAAAGGGTATATATTGAACGTTGATATCTGCATATTATACCAATCCTGAAAATTGTTCCCCTGTGCCATTTGATCTCCATTAAATTTTTGACACCAAGGTGTCCCCATCATCATTGGAAACATAAACATATTTGCATTTGTTGCTTGATTCTGAGCCATATCCGGTGAACCATCTACTCTCTGCTGCCCCTCACTTGATGTAGAAGGTAACTGCACTGATGGTTGTGCAGTTGACATTTTCCTGGTTATTGCCCACAGTCCAGACTGCCAAAACTACGCCAAGTTGTAACCACCCCAACTCGTAATAAGGGTGATTTACAGGTTCTCTACTGGACCAATGATTTTCTGTGGCTCAATAACCAAGGAAAACTCAAGTACACAATTCATTAGATATAAATACAACAATTTTATTTTTAGACAATCATTGTATTAAAACCCAGGGGGGGGGGACAACAGGTTAATGCAAAGTAAGTCAGGTGCAATTCTAATCATGTATTTGTAATGAATAACATTAATCAATAAACTTAACGAAGAATAAAGCATCAACAAACAGGACAATATATTCAGCACGGGGTCTCAAAGGTTGTTACATGCATGCATTAAATCAATTCATGTGATCACCTAGCATGCATAATTTCATTGCACAGCAAACCTCAAAGCCATATAAATCACTTAAATACCACACCAATAAATACACACCGAATATCAGGACATACCCACAATACCACTCACGCTAAATACATAGCCGTCGTCAATATACAGTATAAAAAGCATATGGGAGATAACAACCTGCTCTCCTACCCCCTTACTCACACACACGCTCACTTTACACACAAATGGCGCCGGGGGACCAATAGTTGCACACATAAATTAGGGCCTCCCCGGCGAACAACACAATACCAACACACACATCAACAACAGTCAAATGAAAGTGTACTGCTGGCTTTCTTACCCGCTACCGGACGTGGGTTCCCGTATTCAAGGAAAACAACGGCGGCCGCCAAACTTAAGAGGGGAAAACCCCAGCAAAATATCCCTCCCAGTCGCTATTCACACGCGTCTATCTCCAACCCACGTCCCGGCACGGTAGCCTCGGCAAGGAACTCAGCAGCCGCTAGAAACCCCCCCACCCCAACAACAAATACATCATACCTTTATAACTTTGATCCCTGATTGCTAATGCAACACAGGTGTTTCTCTTCCCCGGCACATCATGAGTAAAACACTGTGGACGCTAATAGCGTTGCCACTCCCCTTATTTGGGATGCGCAGCTTACAAATGCATTCATACATTGGAAGCTATAAGCTCCAAATATTCCCAGTTAGGGGAAGTCTTACTTTTTTTGGCTGTTGCCATTGCTGTAAATACAAACCCGTCACCAAACACCCAAATACCAACACCAAATTACCTAAAAAACACCAAAAGTGCAACGATCTTACAAAAAAAAAAAGACACAACAACAACAACAACAAAATAAAGTTACAGCACTCTCCTCACAACCCATCAACCAGACTGACAAGGACCTTCGAGCCTTCTGACACCCAAAGCGAGACGCGCACGTGATTGGACAGAAAATGAGGCTTCGTTTGTCATCGATCACGTGACGTGACCTCTGGGAAACCAATACACACCCCGATACGGGGCTTCAATAGAAATTGCTTCGCTTTCGCGATACGCACATCGAAGCTTCAGTGTCATATGTAACATCACTACTGTCTGCATCAGTAACTGTTTTACCCTTATTTTTGATAGGTTGTTTTATAGTTATTTTGCGGTTATAAACCGTACTTGGATCGTTTTTGATATTCTATCATTGATCTTGTAAAATCCTTCATTCAAAATAGCCACTCTTTTAGTTTTTTTGCCCCCAGTGCAATCTTTAACAAACTGGGGGAATCAACTTTTTTCTATGTTGTGACTTTGAGTAACTCGTTACCAGTTAAACTTTCAGCCTTCCATAAGCAAGTGCTGCTCTACTGGAAACTATTGTTCAAACATAACTTCATGCCCCACAACTCTCCAGTTTGGAATAATAGATGGTTTGGCAGAAAGTTTGTATATTTCGAGGAATGGGAATCTAAAGGGATTTGGGCTATTGCCCATTTCTTGGATGATAATGGAAATGTGTTGCTGTGTAGAGTTTTGTGAGAAATTCCAACTGCAGTGTCATGTGATTATATTTAATAGAATGATCAGAGCCATTCCAATTCCTTTTTACATTAATGGTTAAAAAATAAATGTTGTGCTCCAAAGTCTCCCTAGGTCTGAGGCAGATCTCCTTAGAAGGTTGTGATATTTGTGATACAAATTTAACAAAGAGAGTCATTAGAAATTATATTTTACAGCCTTATTACCCAAACCCTATTAGACAGGAATATGTGCGTAAAGATTTTAATACGGTTAAAAAAAAAATGTCTTGTATTTTCCCTTCCCTTCTAAAGCTTAGGAGGTGAACTTTAAATGAAATTTATCCTACCAATTAATTTTTAAGATTGAAATTTAATTTTGATGTGAACAATTGTGTTTTTTGTCAAACAAATGTTGAAACCCCTCACTCTCTGAAGTTCATCAGGTTTGGTATTTGTCTGGAAAACAAAGAGTTTGATTTTTTTTTTTTTTTTTTTTGTTCTGTCTTGGAAAGTTTTTCATTCATAAGTGCAGATGGTTTAAAACTAAACCCAACTTTAATCAGTAGATGAATGAGGTTAAACTCTTGTGCAAATCTTTAAAATTGATTAAAAACCAGAAAGCCCTTAAATTGATTTTTCTTTTGGATACATATAATATAGAATATTTTATTTTATTTTGTATTTTATTTATTTGTTTGTTTTATTGTGATTTTTCTGTTTTGTTACTAGCTATGCTCAACATGAGGTTGAACAATTGCTGTTATATTCAGAGATTTGATTATGTACCTTGTTTGTTTGTGTTGTGGAAGCATATAAATACAAGAATTTGTATCTCGTCTCGCGGTGATGACGTCACCACTATCGCGCGCTCCCCGTTCAGCCACTGTGGACTCGTCTGGAGTCTTCTGAGGTAAACAAATCACCACATGTCGTGGTACGACACTTAAAGCAACATTTAAATGGTCATTTCTAAAATGTTTTCTTTGGGTTCGGCGCTTTTTGTGTGTCTACTAACTAAAACGATTTTTTTTTTTTAAAGAATAAGAAGAATTTATGATTTGCCTAAATAGTTTCTCATCACAAATCGGGAAGATGTTAGTGAACTATACTTTGTTGTTATGAATGCAGTTATTAGGCAATCGAGCTATATTTAGATTAATATAAACAAATTACAATGGTTGATAAGCCTCTTGATTTCATGTCAATTGATCCTGTTTTCACCTCATTCATTATGCTGATGTTTTCAGATCTGTAAATTGCCACATTAAGCTCATTTTATTGGTGTCAACAGACTTGAGCAAACGACACGATCATATATTGTGATCATCTACAAGATATAAATTTCATAACAGCATAATCTGTGGAAAAAACATGTTCCATAAAAAAACAAAAACAAGTAGTTAAGTCAAACTCAACTGGCGGGCTATTCTTTTCTTGCAAATTTGTATATTTAATTGTCTAAGTTTATCTTGTCTTTTTTATTTTTACATTGTTTGTATCTGTTTATTGTTATACTCTCAATTTTTTCTATATATTTGCCTATATTTTAATGAGAGGTAAGATACATGTTGGAATAAAGTATGTGGATGAAATTTTTAGAAATAAAAATGTGAATAAGTATAAAACACTTTGCAATTAATTTACGTAAAAGTTATTTTACTATAGATAGATTAACATTAAATACGTCTGAATTAGAATACAAACAAACTCAGTGATTTCTTCTTGATTTTGACAGATCTGCTCCTCCTCCTTCAGTGAAGCTCCTCCCACTGCAATTCTCCAATAAATGCTGGAATATTCCCATCAGCTACAAGTGAAGACGAGCATCAAACCATCAGGAAGAGCTGATATCTGCAAACACAGAGTTCATTGATGGACGGTGAGAACATGAGAGAAGAACAAAGAGGTTGGTGTTTATTCTTTATTCTTCATTAATGAGGCTGAAGAACAGTGAGGTTATAAAGCAGTTCACCAGATTTAGTGTTTGTAGTAGGAAATACCAATAAATAATTATAAATAAACTAATAAATAATATAGTCACTTTCTACAGCCGTGTGAAAAAGAAAGTGCACTCATTTGAATTCTATGGTTTTACGCAGAGGTGGACTGTTTTTTTTGCGGCTGATAGACAAGCCTATCGGTAATCACTCCTGTAGGGTCATGTGTCGTGAAGTTTGACAATTAGTACGATTTCTCTTTACTAGTAGTGATCTGTGAGAGACAAGTATCATCACAAGTAATGTTTTGAAAGTTTTGTTTTCATGGCAAATAAGTATTTATGTTGTGCTGTTTGTTAAAGCAGTATTGCTGTTGAGATCAGGGTGAACTAGATTGTCTTATAATCAGGGTCGTCTTATATTCTGAACAATACGGTAGTTCACACAATTCAGTCATAATTTACTCACCCTCGTTAGTAATAAATTCTGTTGAATCAAAAAAAATTTGTTTCTAAAGCTACTTTTTGTAATGTGTATTTGATGCTTTTCTAATTTAACACAGTAATGACTTTAAATTATCTTTTGAACGTAATTTCTCAGCCAAATTTGATTTGCGATTAATTATTTAAAAAAATGTAGCTGTTTGACAGCCCTACATTTGACTTTTGTTTCAGATGTAATGCTGAAGAATGAGGAGAGTGAAGAGGAGAAACATCATCATGTCAGAACTGGAGAAAAAACTCACTTACAGACTGAAAATATTTCTTTACTGAAAAGAAAAGACAATAAATGTTTCACTTGCAGTCAGTGTGAAAAGAGTTTCACACACACAAAGACTTTATTGGTTCACATGAGGATTCACACTGGAGAGAAACTGCATAAATGTGATCAATGTGGCAAAACATTTTTGTGTGCTTCAGCCCTGAAGATCCACCTCACAGTTCATTCACAGGAGAAACCACATTCATGTTCTTTGTGTGGAAAGAGTTTTTCACGTCTGCCGAATTTAAAAGTTCATCAGAAAAGACATGCTGGTGAAAAAGTTAATGTGTGCTCTGAATGTGGGAAGAGATTTGTTACAACTTCATGTTTGAAACGGCACCAGAGGATCCACACTGGAGAGAAACCTTACAAGTGTTCACACTGCGACAAGAGATTCAAAGATTCAGGATCCCTGAAAACACACGAGAGGATCCACACTGGAGAGAAACCGTATCACTGCACTGCATGTGGGAAGAGTTTCACTCAATTAACTGCTCTACACAGGCATACAAAAAACTATCACTGTAAGTAGTTCATCTTCAGATCCAGCACTTTCAGGTGTGAAGCCGCATCCTCACTTAACTTGATACAATAATACTGTAGAGCAATAAAATCTCTTCAATATGAGGTTACGTTTACAACAATGATGTACTAAAATGTAAAAGTTTTTCTGCGCACACATGACAATGTTCTAAAAACAATCCTGTTGTCAAAATTATTTGTGTAGCTGTTCTCTACTTTCACTTTACATTAGGGATGTCCCGATCAGGTTTTTTTGCCCTCAAGTCCGAGTCATTTGATTTTGAGTATCTACCGATACCGAGTCCCGATCCGATACTTATATAATACATATAAAAAGAATAAAGAAGAGAGAAAAAACAGATCCAGGATGTTCCTTATTTTTTATTTAATTCACCTTATTTTAACATTCAACAACTCGGTTAACAAACAGAGCACTTCTGTGAGGTAGCTTGAACAATCAAGTAATAAATAACATCAAATCTTCACTTTTGGACACCTCAACTTAAAATACCCGGCAGGCATGTAAACAAAAAAAAAATGTTTTAAAAGTGTATAAAAAAATAATGAGAATATATACATTAGGGGTGTAACAGTTGCGGTAAAATTTGCGGTTTGGTTCGATACCATACAGCAAAAAGAAAGAAATGCCAGAGAAATTCCTATTTATTAAAAGAAAAACTATTTTTAAATAAGTTTGAGTTTTCCTACATCTTGAAACTTTCAGGTTTATAAATGGGGTAATCTTTGAAGGATGAACAAATAATGTTTTGGTAATCACATTAAAAATAACATTTAAATATATATTTATATAATATTTGAGTTTTGAAGTGCAACATTAAATCCATGTTCATTCACGGGCGGCACAATGTTTCTCCTGGTGTCCACGTCAGCGCTGTTTGATCTAATAGAGATCTACGGTTAATAACGGAGAAATGTGAATGCTTCTCACTAGATCTCGCAGCGATGTTATTACTTCAGTGGCGAATTCAAATGTTTTCTTCACTGGATCTCTCAGCGCTGTGTCGCTTGATCTCGCGCTGCACAGATGTTGCTGGTCCGAACTGATAAAGGGTCCGTTAAGCACAATATAATGAGTAGCGCAGTTTCGTTCCACTTTCATTACGTTTGCCATCTGATGTTGCGCAACGTTGTGGTGATCGCAGGAAAAATGGTCCTAGGAATCGTTCGGTTTGTATGCGTACCGAACCGGAAGCCTCGAACCGAAACGGTTCAATAATTACGAATACATGTACCGTTACACCCCTAATTTACATATATCCGAGTCCTGATCGGGAGGTAACGTCCGATTCCGATCGAGTCTGAAACCACGTGATCGGGCCCGATTTCGGATCGCTTGATCAGATCGGGACATCCCTACTTTACATTTCTCTCTGATTTATGATTTATTTAAAATGCAACTTTTTTACTTTTCATTTCAGGCCTGATGCTGAAGAATGAGGAGAGTGAAGAGGAGGAAAAAACTCACTCACAGACTGAAAGCATTTCTTTATTGAAAAGAAGAGGTAAGAAATATATCACCTGCCGTCAGTGTGGAAAGAATTTCAAACACACAAGGACTTTTTTGGTTCACATGAGGATCCACACTGGAGAGAAACCGTTCTTATGTGATCAGTGTGGGAAGAGTTTTAGACAACAGGTTGAATTTAAGCAACACATGAACATCCACACTGGAGAGAAACTGCATGAATGTGATCAATGTGGAAAAACATTTTTGAGGGCTTCAAACTTGAAGAATCACCTCTCAGTTCATTCACAGGAGAAACCACATTCATGTTCTTTGTGTGGAAAGAGTTTTTCACTTCTGCAGAATTTAAAAGTTCATCAGAAAAGACATACTGGTGTAAAAGTTCATGTGTGCTTTGTGTGTGGGAAAAGTTTTCTTACAAATTCATGTTTGAAACGGCACCAGAGAATTCACACTGAAGAGAAACCTTACAAGTGTTCACACTGCGACAAGAGATTCAATCGGTCAGGAACCTTGAAATCACATGAGAGGATCCACACTGGAGAGAAACCTTATAAGTGTTCACACTGCGATAAGAGATTCAATTGGTCAGAATCACTGAAAACACACGAGAGGATCCACACTGGAGAGAAACCGTATCACTGCACTCCTTGTGGAAAGAGTTTCACTCAATTATCTTCTTTACGCAGTCATATAAAATACAATCACAGCAAGTAGATCATCTTCAGATCCAGCACTTTCAGGTCTAATGCTGTGTCCTCACCAAACGTGACACAATAACACAGCAGAACAATAAAATATCTTCAATATGAGGATACTTTTACAAGACAACAATGTACTAAAATCAGAAAGAAAAAAAATAGTTTAAATTTAGTTTTTGTGCATTCAGATGACAATGTGGTCAAAATGATCCCAGTTCACTCGGATCTGTGAAAGCGACTAAAAACACTGTATTCTCCTGCCAGGCCAGTAGTTGGCGATGTCACTTTGTAAAAAAAAAAAAAACTCCGCGCCTGTAGATTAAACACGTAATACACATGAAATCACCATTTTCACAAATTCATGTTTTTGTAGTTTACACGGAGACAATAATGATATTATTTTCAAAAACTTTGAAACCCGTTTTCAGTATAAATCTTTCAGGCCAAAACAGCAAAAACACTTTTTAGTTTAGTTTTTAGTTGAAACGGTATCGTGTTAACAGCCTCTAAATCTGTCCTAACCAGCCACAACGATCAACAGGACAAAGAAACATCATCTAACTTTGTCACAATGAATAACGTTCTTTAAGAGAGGTTTTCAATATACATTATGTCTTATTTACTACATGACAATGTGTATCAGAATCGTAGGAGGTCTGAGCGGCTTTATTCCCTGCTGTCGTCTCCACCGGTTTCAAAACATGTCTCTGTTATATTATCATTTTCCACTCGTCCGGCACTTTGGAACGACACAACCTTGTTTCTGCAGAGATGTTTCCTATAACAACATCCACAAAAATTGGCTTTGGACTGACAGTCTGAAAGCAGCTTCAATGTTTTATTCTTGAATATCATTTTGCTTCATGATATAAATTATATCATTATTGTCTGTTACGAGTTTCATTTTATGTCCAATATAATGCATATGTATCACATGTAGTCTGTTTACACATTTATGAGGGAAAGTAGAAGGCTTTTACAGGTTCAAACTCTTGTTCAAGAAGGTGAAGACGAGGCAGATTTTTTTTTTTTTATTGTTTTCAAATCTACTAATTATTCTTCCACTTATGGTGTGTTTAGAAAACCCATGTAAGATATACTTTAATGTATCTTTGAAACTGGCCTTCAGTTTTATTCTCTTGAAATGCTTTGATATCTTGTTAGTCGATAAAGAGACAAACCTGTCTTATTCGTTTCCATTTTTTTTTTTTTTTTTGCTTCAACCAAGTATTAAACTTTTATTGTCTGTTGATTCTTCTTGCATAAGGAATACATAAATGCATAGTTTTAGTTCCATCTAAAAGCAATGAAATATCCTTGTTTTATTTGATCTGTTGGTTCATAGATGTTTTGCCATTGTAAACTAAAGTTGGTGCTTTTTTGACTTGGCATTGCAGTGATGACGTCATCAATTGTGTTGAGTCTTCTGAGGTTTACGGTATTTAGCACAATTGTAAAATATGGGAGAGTGGGGTATGATGAGCCATTTTTAACTTGTGGTCCTCAAGATAAGAGAAAATTAGGCAAAGTACAATGAAAGTATCTAAAGTAATTTCAGGATGTTTTGTCCGAAATCACTTCCCTACTATATAGTAGCATTCAGACTATATAGAACATATTTTTAGCGGTCGTGAAGTAATTACTTATTCAGAATAAATACCTACTCGAGAGTATGCGATTTCAGACACAGCCAGAGTCTTCTGAGGTGAGCAGTTCACAATATTAAGTAATATATAAATTAAACAATTTTTACGCAGTCATTTGTGAGTTGTTTTCATCTGGTTTGTCGCCATTTGTGTGTAACATGAAAGTTATTGTAGTTCTAGACTAAATGTGTGTGTGCATTTATTCATCTCACTTGCACGCAAAAAAAGATTCGATATTTCAAAAAAATTAATAAAATCAGTGAAATGCAGAATTAGAATACTATGCAAACCTACAATAACTAAATAAGTTAAATAACATAAATTTGTATGCATTTAATCTGACTTTATTGACCAATGTACTTGCTTCTAACCTTCGAGGATTCGGTTAAGCCATAAGAAAAAAATATTTTTTTTGTTTTTATTGGTAAAGTAAGTGTTAAACTTTCTTCTCCTGCATCTATTCTTGCGTTATCAGGAATAACAGCAGCGGAAAGGTTGGTTTGAGCTGTTCCTCTACTGTACACACGTGAATCTGCATTCCCTTCAGCCTGAGGATTATTATTTCACTTTTGGTGTGAAAGGGTCTTTACATTTGCCTAAAAATATAACTTTTTTGTTATTATAAAAAAACAAGCCCAGCCCAGGTGGAAAAAAGTAACTAAGTAGGCCTAATTAGTTACTTTTAAGGGAGTAACGCAATATTGTAATGCATTACTTTTCAAAGTAACTTTCCCCAACACTGGTTATGAGCAATTAGAGTTTCAAATTATGTTAAATTTTTATATTTATGTGGCTGTGTTTGTTTTTTGTGTGGAACGAATCACGCTGACAGCAGGTGTACGGTCACTCGAGATTTCACTTTTCTGGGACAGACAAAACTGGGACAAACACGACCAAAGGCTGGTTACTGTTCATCAACGTTGCAGAAGTCAGTAGCGAGAGATGTGAGACTGTTGCGCATTACATTTTCTCAAAGTGATCATGGACATATAGTGGACAACACTCTTAATAAAGCATACAATAAAAACATAAAACACTGTTATCATTTCTCATTAATTAACATTAAAGCAGGGAAACTATAAACTTAAGTAACCATTATTTTACATATTTTGGAATAACTGAAACAGAAAGGGAAGAACACAACCCTAAAATGGCACAGTAACAGTTCAGCTTGTGCGTGCGTGCATACAACATTGTGTGCTAATGCTAATACTCAATAGAGTGGTAGAGGTATGGCCAAAGTAAGCATTTTACAACTTCCGTCCCAAAGTCAATGGGTTTTTTGAATGGGTTTTTGGTTAAATGGCTGAAATAAGATCTGTGGTGAACACAAGCTGAAGACACTTTCACATTTTATACTATGACATAAAATACATCACTATTATCCCTCTCGTGATTTTTTTAAGCTGTTACGTCTTGAAAAATGTGGCTGCTAACAAGTTTGTTTGTTTATTTATAAAGCACAATTAAAACAACATAATGTTGACCAATGTCCTTTACAATCACAATAAAATTACACAAATAAAATGCACTTTCAGACAAACTCATTTTTGGCCAAACAAGTGTCTAAATTGGACTACAGACACTGTCGAGGAGATCATGCTGCTGAACTGCTAAACTTAGTCTGCTTTAGTCCGTTTTTATAGCATCAAATAACTAACTAAAAACAAACTTATTTTAAAAACAAACACTTGAAATTACATCAGCGTGATAAAAACTACAGTAAATGACAGAAATCATCTTTGGAAAAACGATATTTGAAGTGTAATTTAATTGTTTAGTTGGTCTCACGTCCTGTTGAATAACACGGGGAGGCGGGGTTTATGACCTATACAAGGACCGGTCACCGGGGGGCGATCGAGACGCTTTGGCTTCACTTTTCAGGGTTTGTACGGCACGCTTGATGTCAACCTGCCTCAGAACACAACACACACTCCTCCACAGGTCACCTACGCTCACTCTCACCCTCTCACCTATCCTCTTTGTTCTCATACACACTTCCTCCACCTGATCAATTTTCAACACTATACTAACAGTGCAACTGATACTCTTTTCTCCACTTTAACATCCTTGGACAACTTCTGCCCCCTTTCCTCCAGGCCAGCCCGCGCCACACTCTCTGCCCCATTGGTTTTCTGATGTTCTCAGGAGCGGACTTTACCATTAGGCAAAGGTCGGCAATTGCCTTGGGCCCCAGGGGCCCCCAAAATGCCCCATTAACTTATGCTTAAGTTTTTTTTTTTTTTTACTTTTCGCAAATTATATATTTCTAAAAAAAAAACATTCATTAGTGTCGCAGACAGGAGGGGGCCCCCCACCTCACTACATTGGACTATTCCATTATCTCACTTATTGCGCATCTGCGAAAGTGACAAGGCTTTAATGCGCCAAAAAACTGACGGAGAAAAAGAAGTGATTGACAGACAGAGTGTACAGAGTAGTAGACAGAGTAAAAATGAAGCGGAGCTACCCAAGCAGTGCTGAAAAAAGCAGGAAGCGGGAGGAAAGCAAAACGTTTTTAGCAAAATTGCCGAAGGAAGGTAATAAACTTTTTTGTGATGCCCGCTGACAATGACAACAACGCTAACGATACAACCACCATCACGACCGTTAGCAATGATGCTAGCAAGGAGGAGCTACCCATTGCTGCCGACAGTGCCAGGTAGATTAGCTTTACCTGCCTATCCACCATTCAGTCAGTACATTTTTTTTTGTTCTCTTTTAAAGATCGGATGGGGGGCCCATACTACCTTCGCCTTGGGCCCCCAATTTGCTAAATCCGCCACTGGATGTTCTCCGCGAACATCGTTCTAAACTCGGGTGCAGATAAGAAGTGGCGCAAATCGAAAGATCCTACTGACCTTGGTCTTTATCAATCCCTCCTCTCGTCCTTCTCTGCTAATATCTCACAACAAAATTAACAATTCTTCTGACTCTCGCATGCTTTTGAAAACCTTCTCAACTCTCCTCCTCCTCCTCCTCCATCAACCCTAACAGCTGAAGATTTTGCCACACTCTTCATAAATAAAACAACCACCATCAGCGGCCAATTTACCAATCCACATACTGACACACACATTTACCAGCTAACATACACATTTTACCCTCCTTCTCTCTACTTTCAGAGGCAGAAGTCTTCAAACTCCTCCTTTCCAATCGCCCTACCACCTGTCCGCTTGATCCTACATTCCAAAGGATAAGAGAAAATGCCTCTTCTGGAATCTACTTGCTGCACTAACTGCCAGAGACTTTCACAAAGGATTGCAGTTCTTGAAACAAAGTTACTTGTGGGACCACCAAACCAGGCGGAAAACACAACAGAGCTTCGTCATGGACGTCCTCTGCATACAGCCGGTGAGTCCCATGAATCTAGTCCTCCTCGACAGGCCATACTGAGTGTAGAGAAACAAGCCGATCGACTT